ATCAGTTTCAATATGAAAAACCTACAATAATGCAAAAATTTCAAAATAAAAATAATTAAAAAAACTAACCCTCGGAGGTTGATTTTCCATTTCTGAATATTGTGAGGGATTTCTGACCGTGAATGGTTGTGAGGGATTTCGTCGGAGATGGGGACGGAAATCTTCGGAGATGGGGACGGATTTCGCCGTAGAGAGTGAGAGATGGAGATGAGACTGAGTTGTGATTTTAGGTTTTAGGTTATGAGTTGCGATTACGGGATTTTGTCTTAATATTCGTTTTTGTAATTTGAAAATAAAATACGCGTAGCGATTATAATGGCGCTTTAAAAATCGCGTTGCGATTTACGGATACGCGTTGCGATTTTACGTATTGTCGTTGCGATTTACGGATACGCGTTGCGATATACGGATATGCATTGCGATTTACGGATACGCGTTGCGATTTACGGATACGCGTTGCGATTTATGTGTTCACGTTGCGATTTTCATATTCGCGTTGCGATTCTGGAAAATCGCAATGCGAATTTGTACTATCGCATTGCGATTGTCAAGAATCGCGTTGCGATTTTGGAAACTGATTTGCGATTCTGGGGATCGCGTTGCGATTTTGTTGGTCATTTTGGCAAATCCAAAAAAAGTTGGTTAAAATCGTATATTATAAGGCATTTTTGGTCACTGAGGCGATTTTCTCTTTAATTTAAACTTTCAACTTTTTTAATTAAAGACAACTGGAAATTACGTAGTACCGAAAGGGCAGCTCAAAGGTGCTAACCCTTCTTTGACTATAACTGACTCCCGAATCCGACATATCACTGGTAAGATGCAGATCAGGTAAGAAATAAGGTATCCGGTCAACCTATTTATTTTTAGATAAATGATCGGTGGCGACTCCTAATCTGTTTTCCTAGGTCGAAGCCCAATTTCGGGCCCACCCGAAAGACGGTTCCGACAGCTTGGCGACTCCACTGGGGACACATGTAAGCGAGTCAGGCTAAGGTAATTTCTAGTTATCTTTTTAACGAAAAGGGTAAGTTTAAATTTTAAGGTAACATTTCGATCCTTATTGCTTACTTTTGATTATATTTTCAAGTAAATAGTTTTACTAATCGTTTTCTAATGATTTCAGCCTTCAAAGCTTTTTTCACTTAAGGCTCTAAACCCGAGCTCTAAACCCTATTTTAAATGGGGGTAAAAGTGATGCCTTCGTGTGAATTTATTCACTGTGCGGGCATAAGGGAATGTGTCCTCTCGAGTTTAACTTAATCCACACAAGCCTCTGATGGGTTTAGGACTAAGGGTCTGACAAGCCTAAGGGGGCACCGGCAAGGAGAAATCGGGTACTGTTTTTTTAGAACCTAAACCCGGAGCCTATGGAGAATTAGAGCCTACCCTGAAACCACATTCCAAAACCTATGATACTTTTACCTTAACCATGTCTTTGTGTTTTTTTCCCTTTCGTCATTTTTATTTATTTATTTATTTTTATTTACTAACTTTTTTGCATTTGTGTTTGTTTTTTAGCATTTGCATCATAACAAGAGGCTATTGATCCCTAAAAAGTGTTTGTTACACACAAAATAATATGAATTAATGGACAAAGGTGTTGTAATACAAGAGATTGAAAACGCCGAGACACGACTATGGTTCGAGAAGAGAAGGGAGACAGTTTTCAGGGGAACTATGTGTCAGAGCTGGTTAGCTACGCCTCTGTCAGCCTAAAACAGAACGATGTCCAATAGGTGCGGAACATTTGGGACAGTTGGAAGAATGACAGAAAGCAGAAGTTCAACCAACGATATGGTGATATTGCCCTCTTACTTCATGTCAAGACTAATGAGCCCCTGCTCTGAGCCTTGATTCAGTTCTGGAACCCGGGATATAGTTGCTTCACCTTTAACCGGGAGGACATGGTACCCACTATCGAAGAGTACACTACACTACTACACTTCGAAAGTATCAGACTAGAGAGGGCATATATCAAACACATCAAGATTCAATATTTCAAGAACGGACTGGCCAAGATTACATGAGTTGATGAAAAATGGGTAACTGATCCACTCCGATACAAAGGTAGCAGGGAAGGAATAGAGTGGATCCACATAAGGCAACTAATGAAGAACCGCCCTAATGAATGGAATACTATAGACCTTTTTGTACTAGGTATGTACGGTTTAGTTATCTTTCCTAAGACTTTGGGGTGCATCAACGCAGCCGTGGTGGAACTATTTGAACAACTTCCAGGGCGAGTTAACCCAGCACCGGCCATCTTAGCCGAGACCTTTCGGTCTTTCAATCATTGCAGAAGAGCTGGTGGAGGAAGGTTCATTGGGTGTGTTCAGTTCCTTCAAGTCTGGATTCACAACCACTTTTGGAAGACTAACGGGGTTGCCTACCACCAATTTAGCACCACCTATTCACCTTTGGGAGAGTTCATCACAATAAAGTGACATGAAATTGTTTCAAAGGAAAAGTGGATGAAAGTCTTTTCACATCTTTAGGATTGGGATATTACTTGGAGAGCCCTTGGTTGTTCCTCGTTGACGTTCTTTTCCGGTGTGGGGATTCTGATACTATGACCTTACTCAGACTTTGGGGTGCAGTTGGGTATGCTCCGTTGTTAGCACTTAGACAGTATGGGGCACATTAGTTTGTCCCAGTAACAAGCGGATTAGCTAGATCAGAGTTTGTGTATCACGGTAACAGCTATAAGAAAATGATTAAGGAAGCAGCCGATTCATGGAAGAAAGTATTCTGGACGAATGTTGTAGCTGCTAGAGACATACTTACTCCGGATTATGTGGAATGGCAAAGATTGAGGAAAAATACCAACATCCCGGTGCCAGACTGTGAAGACACCCGATCCATAAAGGAATATCTCAGGTCTGTCCCTTTCGAACTTGAGATAGCCAAGGCAGAGTTCGAAGCTGTGAACAATGAGTTGAAGCAGAGGGTAAAGGAACTTGAAGCTGAATGTTATCAGTGGAAGCTAGATGCCGACTCTCAAAAAGATAGAGCAGACAAACTGAAAAAAGAACAAAAAAGCGAAGACTTGAGAAAAAGGTATCAAGATAAAGTCAATGATAACTCCAAGTTGAAAGTAACCTCTGAATACTGGAAAGACGAAGCTCACAGTCTGAAAAGGAAGTTCGAGGGGCCTGATGAACGAGCTTGGAAGGAACAGTTGAAGACTGCTCAGAGGCACTTAGCAGACAGTCAACATCAGAACCAACGCTTGAGAATCCGGGTGGCTGATCTAGAGAAACAACATGAAAAGGATGGCAAGACAATAGCTGAGTTAGAAGCTATTGTAGATGTGTTCAAAAAAAAGAGAACGAGCTTCAGATAGTGCCTTTCGACGGAGGTTTACAGTGGCGTTTCCGTTAGGAGCAAGCACAGCAAAGGGTAAAGGCCAGAGACGCAGTTATCCGAGATTTCCTGGATCAAGTGTAGAAGGCAACCCATCATCTCCACAACCTGGCAAGGGAAGCTGGAGTGGTTCAACAAGGCATTCAACCAGTGACAGATGAAGGCAGAAGACTTGTCAACCTACTAGAAGTTGTTCGGGGTATAGAGGATTTAGTCCGGGTGTACCTTTGATTGTTTTTATGTCTCTTAAAAGATAAAACATTTTTGTCTGAATAAAGATTATTTATAATAATGGACACTTTTCTGCATCAATGCCTCCAAATTGCATACATCATGCATTGCATTCCTTGCATTTTATATTTCATGTTTACTTTTATATTTTCCATGTTTTTATATTCGTATTAACCAATAGAACATATCTCAGACACCAAGCTTACCTCCACAAGCTCAAGACACGCATCACCCACATAATACTCGAGCAAAGAAGAGACAAATGAAAGCCAGAATCGAGAAGATCGAAGAGAACATGGCAAAACTGCAGAAAGTGTTGGAGGACAAAATGACCCAGAACAATAAGAGTACTTTGGATTCCATAACGAAAAGCCATGAGTCCTTAGTCGACCAAATCGTGGCTAAGCTGTCTGGTTTACAACAAAAGACAAGTGCACCCGAAGTAGGTGCGTCTGAGGGGGTAACCATATCACCGATCGCACAAGTGGTTGTCTCATCTGGGATCTTACTCGGACTGCAAGGTGACTCATTTGCCACCAAGGGGAAAGCTGTATCGGTGGCAAATATACGAACTTCTGCAGCCAACTCTGACAGTCATCCGAACGACTGCCCTATCTCAGATTTTGACGATGAGGATAAGGCAAAGAAGATGGAAGAGAAAATCAGGATGTTAGAAGATCAGATGAAGATGGTCAAAGGGGACCATGATTATTATGGAGTGGACGCAATGGAGCTGAGCTTGGTTCCAGATTTGGTGCTTCCACCTAAGTTTAAAATTCCTGAGTTTGAGAAGTTCAACGGGAACAGCTGCCCTTCAGCCCATATCACTATGTTCTGTCGGAAGATGACAGGACATGGGGGAAATGACCAACTCCTGATCCACTGCTTCCAAGAGAGCTTGTCCGGTTCAGCTATCCGGTGGTACAACCAGCTCAGCCGAACTCATATCAAGACATGAAAAGACTTAGCCAAGTATTTCTTATAATAGTTCAAGCATATCAATGATATGAGGCCAGACCGAGTTATGCTGCAGAGCCTGAAGAATAAGCATAACGAGAGTTTCCAACAGTACGCACAGAGATAGAGGGATTTATCTGTGCAAGTTGATCCACCCTTGGATGAAAAGGAAACTAGAAATTTGTTTGTACAAACCTTAACGACACCTTACTTCGGGCACCTGGTGGCGATCACATCGAGAAGTTTCTCAGATTTAGTTATGGCTGGTGAGATGGTCGAGCTAACTATAAAACAAGGATATTGGGGGATCTGGAATTACATACACGAGCATTATCGTTTTCCTTCCTTTATTGCAGGTTAAGGAGGGTGGCTATGATATCAGGGTTAATGAAACTATAAATGTTGTCACTGCAAGGACAAGTGAGATTGGCCAGAGGACATGAGGCATCATGAAAGGGGTCATGGCAATGGCTTTGCAGAAGGTTGAGGAGTACACTAAAGATGGCATGAACTGGAAAACCGATAACTGGCAACAAAATGATGGTGTGAAGAATGGATATCATAACGAGTTTAAACACGAGAATAGAGGATGGAATTCTACTTCTGGAGGACAAACTTCTTCTGTTGGCAATAATAATTCTTATAACTCAAGTTCTTGGGATGATTGGGACATGAAAGACAACAGGAAGGTAGATAATAATATAAAAGTGACTGCCTCTCGTAGCAATGATGGTTGGGCTGGCTGGGATGATTCGAAGGATGATGGATATGATCACTTATATAACGGCAGTTCATCTGATAGAAAGGCTGTTGGTCACAACGGAAAATCAGATTCCGCATGGACTGGTGGAGGCTTCCTTTAAGGTTAATTACTTATTCATACATATATACCGTCGTACTTAATTTTATATTAGTCTAGATTTTGCGGTCATGTTGTGCAGAACGTCCAATAGTTAAAATGTACACCGTCTGATGTATTACCAATGGCCAGGTTGAATTTTAAATGTTCTTTGCAGATATCAGAATTCTTACTTGCCCGGAAAAGGTAACTAGTACACAATTTATTCCAACTGGGAACAGAGCATGCAGGGGATGGATAGAACTTTATTCTACCATAGTGCGGTTGCTAAGAAACATTATTTGAGAATCAGATCACTGAGTGGAAGGTGGGGAATGCTTTTGATGAAGTTGGTAATTTCTTTGGGAAGTTTCATGTTTGATAGAAGTTTATATTTATAAAACCGTGGACAGAAAGGGTTAATTTTCCGTATTAGGAAGAGGACTGCCTGTACTTGTGACATGAAAGATCAAAATTACTTTGAATCTATACCAACTATAGTTAATGTGCTTCTGTGTTTATTGGTCGTAATCAATATTGATTTTTTGGTGATTGACCAAAACCCTGATGTTTTTTTTTTATATGTAAACAACATCAGTGGTCCAAAACAACTAAGTTTGTTTGGTGTTAGAATTAGATCTTCATTCAATGTTGACATTTTAAAGCCTAGTTATAGACATCTCTTGTCTAGGTGGTGTATCAAGTTTTGTTTTATTTTATTTTTAAGTTATGGAAGAAACATCAAGTAATGGTATAAAAAGAACATGTCAATGCCAAACGAAAAAGTATATTTGGGCGAAATAATTAATAATACCTTTTATTTATTTATAAATAAGTGTCTTATCCGATTTATTGATAAACTAATTCAAATCGGATATTACGGAGGCAATAGCAATCCTTTCAATCTAGTTTGTTCTATTCGCAATCATCAGGATTTAAATTTCTGTTTTTACTTAAGGGATCTAATGTCTCATCTCACTAGACCAATTGATTGTTGATTAATGATTATTTTTATTTAAGTTTGGATGTATTTTTTTATTAATGTGATACAATAATTTTCTAGATGTATTTTTAAAAAATTATGCTTAAACTTCTTAAATATTAGTCAAATACTTGAATATCATCGTTTAATAAAAACTAATTACATTGTTTGATAATTCAATTTTTTAATCTTAAAATTTATAAATTTTTATTTTATAAATACATCCAAGTTAAAAATAATTAGTTATAAAATAATTGGTGACTGAAATTTTTTATAATTTATAATTTTAAAAATAAATTATTTTCATATATTTTTAGAAAAATATAAATTTTCTAAATTTTATTAAAATTGTTACTTAAATTATTTCAAAATTATCAAAATAAAATTCTAATTATAAATGAGGGGTTAAATAAAATATTTTTATTAATTTAACAAATCACATCATTTTAGTATGTCACATCATTCCTTTAATAATATTTCACATTCTCTAACCATATTTTTTTTAAAAAAATCTATAATTTAATATATTTTTTATAATATTTAAAAGTCTAATAATAAATAAAATCATTTAATTAAATTTAATAATCATTTATAAATTTTATCATATTTTTATATTAATAATGGTGCATATTGATTAATGCCCTCACTCTAAACTCATCCTTGACCTCAATATCTATACACATAATAGATCAATCTAATTAATCATCATTAAACATTTTTAAAAATTTCATTCAGATAATTTTTTTATTTACGCGCATGAATAATCCCAATTTTTTTTTTAAAAAAAAACAAATATAATGATAAAGAAAACAGCAAGTCTTAACGAATAGGGTAAACTATATAAATTTCACTAAAGTTTAAGAAATTTTTTACTTTTTCTACTGAACTTTTAAAAGTAACAAATTGATCATTAATACTATGAATTTATAACAAATTAGTCACTTATCGTTAATATTCATTACTTAAGTAACATAATGCAGATGTGAGTGTTACAGCTATGCTGACCACTCTTTGACTCCATAAAGAAATAATTTGTTTGTTTAATGAAAGCCCCTCTCTTCTTTTCCAGCCTAAACATATTCTCCTCTTTCTTGTTTTTCATCCTCTTCCTATGTGGCTTTGTACAGAAGCACACTGCAAAAACTAACTTTTACGTTTTGAAGAACATTAGAAACAATCAGTTATATATTCAAAAGTTTTCGAAGATTAACCCCCCACCATCCTTATATTAACCTAATATTTGAAGATTATCTATGGCTTCTCCATCTAATCTTAAGTCATCTCACAAAATTGTCAAGGGCATCAACTCTACCAATCATCGCTGTTGACAAATAAATTTGAACATGTAGACTTTGACATCGAGTAACGCTTTCCTACGTACCAAAAAGTTTTATATCAACATAAAAGGCAACCGTGTGCATGGCTGTAATTGATTGATGTAGTGTTGCTTATTGGTTGTCTTTTGTCGAAAAGGCAATCAATAAGCAACACCACATCAATCAATAAGAAATACTTTGTGTCTCCAAATTATGGGTTTGGTCCATTTATGAATTTGGAAATTAATTTTATATTTTAAAATTTTAATTCTCACAATTATTTATTTATTTACATAATGTTACTTTTTAGTCCAAAAAATTAATACTTTTAGAATTATTTCTCATAATTATAACTTGTAGTCCTGTTTATTACTTGTGATGAGATTTGTGATATAAAAACAAATATACAGCATCTACTTCATTCTTCAAACTCCAAATCGGGTTTTCTTAGATTATTCACTGCTACCCTATATATGTTATTTAATGCTTTTTACTCATCTATCAGTGCTGTTTACTTTCTTTTTATATCACAAATCTCATCACCATTTTGACCTTAAATTTGATTGAACTCAGGTTGCATTCAACTCAGACAAGGGTTAGCGGTTGGAGCTTCTTAAGCAACCATTCATATTTAATTCTATAGGATTTATAAAAAATTTGCAAAAGGATATAGAAGTGGAGATAAAAAAATATCGTATGCCCATTGAAACCGTAGAAAGTAGCAAGGGTTCGCGCGTGTTGAGAACTTGAATCGTGCTAAAAGCATCTCAAATGAGTGAATGCATCAAGTAACTAAGTTAAGCTTTGGTTTATTCCTGTATGGTTTGTTTGCGAGTAACTCCGTTAATCATGAAGATGGAGAAAATAGAAGGAAAAGAAGAAAGATGAGCTTTTTTTCATGTAGTCAAAGAGCAGTCAACATAGTTATAATGTCCCATTAGCATTTATTATATATCAATAATATTAGTAATTAATTTATTATAAATTAATAATATTAATGACCATTATTTTAATTTTGAAACATAACGAAAATTAATTTGTTAAAAAAATATTTAGAAGATGGGTTGGTAAGAAAAAGATATTACACAAGGATTGAAAAATCTCACTCCTTAAACTACTCTCCTCTATGGTGCTGTTGAATGAATGATCAACATTGACGAAACACGATGACGGTATGAGAAGAACAAAAGTCCCCTCTAACCCCTAATCTAACTATTTTCCCTTTCCCAACGATGAGAAGATCGTCATAGCCCTAACACTTGCTCAACAATATCGCCGGTTAGGGTTCTGGAAACAATGTCCCCTCTGACAGTGGATGGAAGTCACGTTTAGGGTTCTGGAAACAGTGGCGAGGGTTATAAGGAACTTATAATAAAAGATATAGAAAGTGAAAGTACAGAAATGGGTCTGAAAGTAAATTGATATGTGCTGGGTAACATAAGAAGCATTCAATTTCTCTAAAATTTTAGGGGAGATTTTACTTTTTTTGCTGGGAAGGTACTTCAACACTATCAATGATTATATAAGCCGACTTAATTCGAATTCAACATCGAAGTATGAGAAATTTTTCGTTCCAGACTGAAACAATACTGCATTCAAATCAGGAGCCCTAAAACAACAATCCGTTGCAAAAGATTTACAGAGCAGGTAACTAACTATAGCCTAAAATCAACTTAACCACCGAAACCGTAAAGAGTCCTTCCCTGCCGCTTGAGGGCGTAGACAACATCCATGGCGGTGACCGTCTTACGCCTGGCGTGCTCCGTATAGGTAACGGCGTCACGGATCACGTTCTCCAAAAAGATCTTCAGGACGCCACGTGTCTCCTCGTAAATCAAACCGCTGATCCTCTTTACGCCGCCTCTACGAGCCAATCTTCGAATCGCCGGCTTGGTTATGCCTTGGATATTATCCCGGAGAACCTTCCGGTGCCGCTTGGCTCCGCCCTTGCCCAACCCTTTGCCTCCTTTGCCACGGCCCGACATTCTGTTAATTCGAAGAGAATTCCAGAGAAGAATACAAAAGCTGATTTACAGTCCAAAAGGCGTGAATGGAGTTTAAATAGAGAGGTCTAAGGGTGTCTTTCTCTCCACTGTTTGCCGAGGGACGAGAAGGTAAGGTAAGCCGTTGGATAATTACGTTATCGACGGCTGATACGTGGATCCGTGGATTTTGATTTTATTGGTTGGAGACTGAGATTGAAGTGAGTGAAATCGGAGCCCCTTCAGATAAAGGTTTTATGTATGGATCCGTGTCACGTGTATTTTTGCAGTTTTTAGCCGTCGATTAAGGGATCATCTACGGCTTCAAAGCGTTTTGGTTGGCGGACTGTTAAAAGGTGGAAACTTTCAATTAAAGCAAATCCCGCCCGCCCCATGGGAAAAGGACTCCAAAAAAAAAAAAAAAATACTATGCTTAAAATCCAAGTTTTGTGAACCAGAAAATCCAACAGCTTTTTATATATATAATAATTAGGAATGGATAAAATATTTGAATTAAACAAATTGGCTGTCCCTTTTTTCCCATATATATATATATATATATAAGGGAGGTAAGATAATAGGCTATTCCCAACATCAGGTTGAGAGCAACTTCCATAAGAGACCTCCGAATTATGAAATGTCTTCCGTGGAACTCGATCCCACGACCTCAAGGTTAAGAACCTTGTGCTCTACCAACTAAGCTGGATGATCATTTATTATATTTGAATCAAACAAATTTTAATTTATTCTTGTAAACTTTCAAAATTAAATTAAGTTTAAGCTTAACATAAATTTTATGAGGAAAATATTGAGACACATCATATTTACAATATATTCGTTATAGGATGAGATTAGAGTGATCTTAAATTTTATGACGAGCTTAGTGGGTGAGCAGCTTGTCCTGGATCACAAGCCATAAGAATCCGCGGATGCGTTCGGGAATGTTTAGCTTCCAGATAACAAACCAGCGATAATCCTTATCACCCCAATTCAAATTATTGAGGGAGGCGTA